GAAGGAATTAACAATCTGGAAATGGATGGGATTTTGATATGTTAGTAGGCAGAGGTCAGTATGAGACTAATGAACGACAGATGCACTATGATGCGGGTCTTTTTGCACAAATTCGAGTTGCTGCCACTAAGGCATGGAGAAAACTTCCAGTTAAAGGAGACCTGGGAACTTCTCTCACTTCAGTTAAGCAGGGACCTGATGAGCCATTTGCAGATTTTGTTCAACAGTAAATGACCACAGCAGGGAGAATATTTGGAAATGTTGATGCAGGGCTTGAGTATGTGAAACAGTTGGCATATGAAAATGCTAATCCTGCCTGCCAGGCAGCCATTAGGCCTTACAGGAAAAAGACGGATTTGACTGGCTATATTCGTCTGTGTGCAGACATAGGTCCATCTTATCAACAGGGGCTTGCTATGGCAGTGGCTTTCAATGGACAAACTGTAAAGGATTTTCTGGCTGAAAGACATAAAGCTAAGGGCAAAGGGTGTTTCAAGTGTGGTAAGAGTGGGCATTTTGCCCAAGATTGCAAGGCAGATAATGTTCAGCATAAGACTGATGATGGTAGAGCTCCTAGATTGTGTCCCAGGTGTAGAAGGGAAAAACATTGGCTTAACGATTTTAGGTCTAAGACTGATATTGATGGGAGACCTTTATCCTCCTCATCAGAAAAACTTGTGGAGGGTCCAGCCCCAGGCCCCAAAACAAGCATTTGGGGCAGTCAGCAGCTTTATCCCTGCACAGGCAGTTGCCAGCAGCAGCAATCCATTTCTAGCCTCAGCGGAGCAACCCCAGGAAGTGCAAGACTGGACCTCAGTTTCTCCTCCCACACAGTACTAACTCCAGAGATGGGAGTTCAGACCATAGGAACTGGAATTTATGGACCACTCCCTAACAATACTTGTGGGCTGATATTAGGGCGAGATAGCGCCGCTCTAAAAGGCTTATCTATTGTGCCTGGGATAATTGATGCAGATTATACTGGAGAAATTAAAATCATAGCTTGAGCCATTGGCAATATAGTCACTATTCCCCAGGGGAAGCGTTTTGCTCAAATAATTTTAGTACCTCTGGTTAAATCCAGTCATCCTGTTCAAAGTAAAAGTAGAGGTAATAAAAATTTTGGCTCCTCTGATGCTTATTGGGTCCAGGCCATTACTCACAAAAAACCTACATTGACTTTATGGCTTGATGGAAAGAAATCCGATGGCCTCATTGATACCGGAGCTGATGTTACTATTATTTCTGCTGAGGCCTGGCCTGCAGCCTGGCCCACGGTTGAGACTCTGACTAATTTAAAAGGTATAGGACAGAGCCAAAATCCAAGACAGAGCTCAAAATTTCTCACTTGGAAAGATTCCATGAATAATTCTGGTTTAATTAAGCCTTTTGTGGTCCCTTATTTACCAGTAAACCTAAATTTTCTAAATGTAGATGCTTATGGTAAATCAGCTGCAGATCGCTTTTGGCATCCAGAATAAAAAAGACATTATGCCATGGTCAAATGGAAAGACCCCTTGGATAATTTGTGGCATGGCCCAGATCCAGTGTTAATATGGGGCAGAGGATCTGTCTGCATTTATTCACAGCAACATGATGCAGCCCGTTGGTTGCCTGAACGCTTAGTAAAGCAAATAGATACTAATCAATGTTCCAGGGAAGATGAGGCTCCCTGAGAAATGTTTTTCTCTTTTTTCTGTTTTCTTTCAGACTACAATGGCTTCTGCTTGCTACATCCTGTTCCCCCTGATTTGTCCTATTTGGTCACAGATGGTGATGCAGTGGGAATTCCAGGTTAAAGAGGGACGCTCTGATGACAACATTCAAACCACTGGCACTGCCCACTGTCCAGTGAAAGGCTGTCAAACAACCATGGTAATTTCAATCACCTTGTCTATTTTATCCTCCAAAATGAGACCTTATGTATGTTTCACTTATGATAATAGAGGCAGTTGTCTCACAGATAGTGCTATATATGGCGGATGTAGATATTGGAATTGCCGCCTTCATGATGCCTATAACAAAAATGGCATATTGAGTTATGATGATGGTCGATTCACAATTCGTATAAATGACCCCTGGGACATTAGGTGGCAAAATGGAGTCAAGGGAAAAAATTTTTAATGATGGATACGCCTCACGTCCAGTGGGGTCTATATTTATTTCCCACCAGCTGCTCCCTGCTACCATTGAAAAACAAGTAAAACAGGTTATCATTATGAGTGAGACTAAGCTTCAATCGACCATACAGTCAAATTCTACCTTTAATCTCGCTCTTTGGCCAAATTACCTAAACTTTGCTTTAAAGTTGATGAATCTTTCTAATATCAATGCTTCTTCGTGTTTGTTGTGTGCTTCCTTAGTTTGGCCATTACTGGCCGCTGTTCCTGTTAACAACTCTTTTGTGTTTAACATTAATGCCCCTGGCACTGTACTTTCTCCTCCTATGTCATCAATTCCACTGCTTCGTAACCCTGCTCAAAATATTTCTCTCTGCTATATCACTGCTATCTACATTTCCCCTTCCTTTATATGTCAGGGTAAGCATGCTGTCAGTTCGCCTTTATATGCTCCTCCTCTTACGTCTTTCTGGTGCAATCAATCTTTGTATCAGCAGATCACTATTTCCTCTCCAGGGCCATGTGTATTAATTACTATTGTACCCCAGTTAAACATGTATTCTCCAGAAGAATTCGCTTGGCTTCTCCGTCCACATATTAAAAGAGGAATATTTATTCCTTTTGTAATTGGGATAGGATTTACTGTTTCTGCCGGCCTTTCGGCAGGAGCTTTGGGACATACTCTCTATACTGCAAAAGAATTCAATTCTCAATTGCAACAAGTTATAGAATCTACGGCCAGTAGCTTGGCATCTTTGCAACGCCAATTAACTTCCTTGGCACAAGTTGCTCTTCAAAATCATAGAGCCCTTGATCTTATTACTGCAGAAAAGGGCGGTACTTGTCTTTTTTTACAGGAGGAATGCTGTTTCTACGTTAATGAATCTGGATTGGTGGAACAAAATATACAGAATCTGCAGACCATCAGTTATAAGCTGCATAATTTTTATCAAGGCCCTTCCAGATGGCTGGATTCTCCTTTCCTCTCTTGGATTCCCTCTCTGATTCCAACCTTTATTCTTTTCCTACTCCTACTTACACTAGGGCCATTATTAGTTAAAAGGCTGTTGGTTTTTATTAAGCAGCAGGTGGAGGCTCTTCTTGTGGCTCATCCAATACAGGTCCATTACCATCGCCTTGATCTCATGGATCAGGAGTTAATTGGGACGTGTAACTATATGGCGTGGTCAGCATGCGGCCAGCCATCCCCCTTGTGAGATGAACTGGACAGTCAACGACGGGTACGTGAGAATCCCCCCTTGTTGCAACCTAAGACAGGAGGGTAGTCTGATGTTACTGCCTTATCCAATGACGGGTAAGCACTTGGGGAAGGATACTCCAACCTAAGACAGGCACGGTTCCCTAAGGGTATAGCACTCGCGATCCCTGTGTTCTATTAATTAAAAAGAAAAGGGGGACCTGTTGGGAGCCGTCTCAGCATATTGGGAGACTGAGTCTTAGCCACTTCTTCACAACTGCTGACAGGCCTCAGCTGGCTATTTTCCATTCTGCCCGCAGCCTTGGCCCGAAAACTTTGGCAGGCAAGCAGAGCCCACAACCTTGGCTCATAGCCAGGACTGGTAGCCCGTGGCCTTGCCCTAGTTATTGTAAATAGCCCTGTTTTCTGTTGATCAGTAGACTCTCGCAGGCACGGGATGGAGCCCGCGGCCTTCACCTGCGGTCTTGTTTTCTTTTCCAGTAACTGCCTTGCTCTCAGTGGATTCCTCCCTTGGAGTGCACCTGGGTCTTTGCTATCTGGCTGATATGATTCAGTCCAGTCTGTACTTCTTTGTTCTTATTCCTTATTTAACTGTATGCTTGTGCTTCAATAAACAAGACTTGATCAGAGCACTGTCTTGTCTCCATTTCTCTTGCCCCTTGCCTCATCCACATCCCCACTCCCCAATCCAGGTACCCCGTTGCAGACCCCGCAGGCTGGGGCGAAAGAATAAATGGAATCCTGTCATTCATGAGAAAAGCACAATAAAACAAACAAACATCAATAGTAACGGAACCAATTTTCTCCAGTGCAGAAAACTGAAAAATGAAAAAAAGGCCTAAATGAGAGAATTAAAAGTAGAAGAGAAGAGCATGTATGAGGGAAGGTATGGTAAAAAGAGAAAGAATGGACATGATGAAAGCACATAAACTATAATGGAAGTGAGCTGTATCCAGAGCCAAAAAATAGGAAATGGTAAGTAGAGATTACTTGATTGAAAAAGCTTTTCATTCATCTCGTTTGGGCATAAGATATTGGCCTTGAGTCTGAGATAGACTTGAGAATTTGGTTATGGAGACTGGTCGAGGCTTAGTTGTGTA